CCCGCCGCCTCGCCGCCGCCCTCCGCCTCCTTGAGCAGCGACTGCACGCGCGCTACCTCGCACTCTAACGCAGCACGGGACTCTTCTAGACCTGTTATAATTTTAGATACGGATTATTTTTCGTTATTCAAAATAGTCGCTGGAAACAAAATTGCGGGGGTCCAAGGAAATTTTATGGTATTTCGAACGCTCAGTGTTTGGGTATTTTTATAAAACATACCAGCAATCTTATGATCTATCTCTGGATGTCTTTGATAGAACGAAATGGAGGAGATTGACCAAGAAAACCGACCCCACTACCATATGGGTTGCAGGAGAGAGAGAGAGGGGGGGAAAAGCGGGGAGAAAGAGAGAGTTATGATCAATCTCAGGGTGTCTTCGATAAAGCGAAGTGGAGGAGATTGGCCATGAAAGCACCCACTACTATATGAAATACAGGTTACAAAGAGAGACAGACAGAGTGAGAGAGGGAGAGAGAGAGGCATCAGCAATCTTATGATCAATCTCAGTGTTCGGTAGAGCGAAGTGCAGATTGACCAAGAGGTCCGACCACACTACCATCTGGGGTACAGGTTACAAAGAGAGAGAAAGAGATAGAGCGAGAAAAAGAGAGAGATACCAGCAATCTTATGGTAGGCGTCATCCCTAGCGCGCGCGGCGTCTCGTCGCTCGTGGTCCGCGCGCTTGACGTGCTCGCGCAGGTCGCGCGCCGCCGCGCTCAGCTTGTCCCGCTCCGCGCTGCAGCAGCTCAGCTCGCGCCGCGCCTCCGCCAACTCCTTGCGCAGGCTCTCCGACTCGTTCTCCACTGGAATGCGTATACATAAAACTTAAATTATTTAAATTGAATTAAATATGTCTGTTAGGCTGTTTTTAAATCAATATTTTCTATTGTAACCAATGAAATGATGTAATAAAATTCAATATGTTTCAACGAAATTCTTCAAAGTAGGAAATCTTTTGAGTGTTTCTGCTACTGACCTGGATTTAACATTAAAGTAGATGGGACTATCAAATATTGTAAATGCGAATGTTTAGATGGACGGATGTTTGTATATTTGTTTTTTTTTTTATATTTCATCCGTTGAGGTATCTCCATTATACCTCAACGGATCTAGATAACTTTAGCACAAATATAAAACATAGTCTGGAAGAACACTTAAAATTTTTTCAATTCCGCTGGGGCGAAAGTTAGTCTGTTACACAGAAACAAATGAACAGTTTTTGTTAATATTTACGAAATGTGTTCTTTCTATGATCGCTTAATTACTCACATTCCTTAAGTTTCCTGAGCGCGTCTTGTAGCTGCACGTAGGTGCAGTCGTACTTGTCCTCAGCGAGCGCGAGCTGCGCGCGCAGCTCCTGGCCCTCGCGCATCGCCGCCTCCTTCTCCACGTGCAGCTCCTTGATGCGGCCCTCCAGGCGTGCGCACTCGTCTTCCAGTGACGCTCTATTAATGTAACAGTTTTATAGTACCATCTATATATAATTAATTGACTGTTGCTCGCGACTTCGTCTGCGTGAAATTAAAATAAAAGAAAAACATAGCTTACTCATTGATAACGTAGCTTTTTAATGATGAAAGAATTTTTTAAATCGGCAAAAAGTTTTTAAGTTCAATACATGCAAAAATAAAATAATACAAAGTAAAGAATGTCGGTGGCTCAGTGATTTAAGCACTTGACTTGTTATACAGGTCTTGGGTTCGAATCCCGTCGTACCATTGTAATATTTGATTTTTCGATTTTTTATATGTACATAATTTACCTGAGGTTCTTACGGTGAAGGAAAACATCGTGATGCCTGCCACATATCAG